GGTGCTTTAATCTGCTGAGGTATTTGGATGGCCCGTCAAAAATATTTTTTTTAAATACTTAAAGATAGAAAAGATGGGCTGGGGAGAGGGCTCAGTAAAATAAGTGCTTGCCTGGCAAGCACGAAGGCCTGAGTTCAATCCCTGGTTCTGAAAGAAACAAAATGCAGAAATTTCAATCCATCGTTTATTGACTCTATTGCTTTTGGGGCTGTAGTGAGGCAGAACATCACAGCAGAAGAGCTTGGCACAGGAAGGCTGCTCAACCCATGCCATCCAGAAAGAAGAGACACAAAGTTAGAGAGTGTATAAACCAGTGTTTGGCTAGAGAATCAAACATAACACAAGATATACAAATGTACGAAAAATTACAAGATTGGCTTCCAAAGGTTGGCCACATACTTGGATGAGGAAATATACAGAGGGAGTCTGCACACTAGAGGCTGAAGGTTTCAGTCCAAGATCTGGAGCTCACTGTAATGCTCTGTGCAAGTCCATATCAGGAGGCTGATGGGTCTGCAACAGATGACTGAAAAGTCTATGCCAGAAGGTTGAAAGATCCTAGGCAGAAGCCAAAGAGTCTGTGCTAGAACCTGGAGACAATGTCCACACTCAAGGCCAAGACTGGTGTTCCTCTGAAGAACAGAATTCAGTCTGTCCTTCCTCAGTTCCCTTTTATACCATCCAGTGACCTAGGGTATAGAATTGCTGGGCTGACTTAGTTAAGCTTCTAAACTTCTCAAATTGAGTCAACCAACCATCAGAGAAAGAGACAGAGACAGAGACAGAGACAGAGAGGAAAACTGTATTAGAGACATACTTTATCCAATTAGGCTCTCTCTCCTAATAAACCCACTGAGCTATAAACTAATCAATGGAATAGTCTGTCACAGAGGATTAATTAGAACTCTCATTATCCAATCACTTCCTAACACCCCATCAGAGGGCAAGCAAAGCTTTAACATAGCTTTTGGGGGCCATTTTAAATCCAAACCATGACACTGCCACACTGCTGTTAACAAAGATGGAAACAATAATAATGGGGAAGTTCACAGAGGTTGAAATATAAGCGTTCACACCCTCATGTCTGACACTGACAAAAGGATGTACAAAGGGCGGTACAGGGATACAGGATAAATCCTGAGAGAACTTGGCTGACCTTATCAGATACAAAAGTTACATTTCTTGGTATATAGGTCTTGCTATATCTTGGTCTTAACCATCCAGCAGAAGAGTATAAAAATGAGGTATATAAAGTAAATCCATATTAATACGATGAGCTGTAAAAGGCTCAAGTCAGTAACTTCTGAGGATAACCCACTAATATTATAGACTGCTAGACAGTGTTAAATTGTTTAGTTGAATTCAAACACCTGTAGTATTTAGATGCCAATAGAATATTCACCTCTGACAGGACAAAAAAAAAATTAAAATTCAAAGAAAAGATACAAAGGAAAGGTCATTTTGTATTTATATATACAAAATAAGATAAATTTACAGCTACTTTCGCTTAACTCAATGAGAAAAAAGAGGTGTACTACCTGTGTTTGGACAGAATATCCTGTCTGCTTCTTGTACTATGGATAACCACTAAGAAGATAACAACGTACAGTGTATTGACTATCAAATTGTCCTATTAATCAGCTGTGAAACTGTCTCATTCATATTTATTTCTCAATAAAAAAATAAAAATATATAAAAAAAGAAAAAGAAATATAAGCGTTCACTTTAGGACATATTACATCAGGGATCGCTGTGAAACTTGTTAGTGGAGATGACTTAGAAGTCTCTCCTGAAAATGTGAATTTGGCCTCTGACAATCTCAGAGGTAGCAGAATCTTCATGCTTGAGGTGAAATAGACAAGGGGACTGCAGAGTGAAAAGAAAGTTTGAGATAGTACCAAGGAAAAAGTAGCTCAAGGTACTGCGAAAGCACAGCTTAGTTGGTAATATTAGTTGTTGGAAACCAGAGTAGTGGAGATTGTTGTTGAAGGGAGGTCGCGGCCAGTGTGTGTCTCCTCCTGATCTACGTGTTAATAGGACGGATTTCCTCCCAAAGGGTCTCTATTAAGATAATAATTTAGCTCATTCAAGTGGAGACTTTATTGGTAATAAAAGTATAGTTCAGCATGAAATACTAATTCTAGTAACACATTAAGAATTTCTCTGCTTAGGCCGAGCACAGTGGCTGGGTTTGATCGCAGGGCAGTACTGCTTCTGCCCCCAGGGCACACTGTGATGGCGATTTGAGACGAGGAATGGTGACAAACACCTGTAATCCCAGCACTTGGGAGGCTGAAAACAGGAGGATCACTGTAAGGCCGATCTACGTAGTGAGACCCCGTAGACCCTGTACTAAAATACATTTAAAAATAAAAAAGAAACTTTT